CGCCCGCAGAGGCGGCCCGCGGTGGTGGTGCTGTGGGCCCACAACCTGCCGTGTGGTGCTGTGTGCACAGGTGGCCGCGTGCTCTCGGCGCCGCCTCTCGGCTTCAACATGAGAACCCCTGGGATTCCCGGTGTTCCCACACCATGGCGCGCCCCACTCTCCTTGCTGCACGTGTCTGCGCCCAGATGGCGGCGCTGCGCACACTGCTGGGGGTGTGCTCTGTGCTGCTGTCCAACTTCAAGACCACACTGGAAGACGACAGGCAGCTGCTGGACGCGGGCCGCGGCAGCAGCAGCAGCGGCAGCAGAGGGGCCGGTGGGGGCAGTGACGGGCCCGACGAGAAGGCGGAAGCGTCGCAACAGCAGCAGCAGCAGCAGCAGCAGCAGCAGCAGCAGCAGCAGCAGCAGCAGCAACAACAGCAGCAGCAGCCTGAACTGGGGGAGGAGCTGCGCATCGCCGTCCAGTTCCGCGCCGAGCGCAAGCGCGTGCTGCTGCGAACCATCAAGGCGCTCAGCAACAGGGTGCGCATCGTGGCCGGGATGCAGGGCCTGCGGGAGGGCCCGCCCGCGGCGGCACAGACCAAGAAAGGGGAGCGGCCGCCGCCGGCGACGGCGCGGGGTTTTGCGACCGGCGCGGGAGGCGGCGGGGGCGGACACGGCAAGCCGCGGCGTAGCAAGTAATACAAAACACGGGTCCCTCATCATGCCCTCCTCGTGTGCGCGCTCGGCTGGCTGCCTGGGGCTGTTGGCGGTGAGAGGTCACAAGGGTTGTTTCGAGACACGGGCGCAGCAGCAGCAACGCATCACCAAAGCATGCTGCACAGGGCTGCCAAGCAAGCGGCGCAACTTTGACGAGTCCAGTGCCATCCAGGGAAAGCCGCGTTACACTTTCAAAAAACGTCCGCAAAAAAAGGTTCAGCTCACTGACAGGTGCAAGAGAGGCAGCCAGCCTTCAATCGTGCATGCCCAAAGGGAATGCGATCGGGGCGCCCGAGGGGGGGGGGGGGGCGGACCGGCAGCAGCCGTCAGCGCATCGCTGCTGATGGTCTGTTGCGCCACGGCTCTCTGTGTTTTGGGGCGCACAAGTGCAGGGTTTCATAAAACGACACGTTCCATCATGACTCTCTGAAAACCGACTGTTTATTCTGACCTTTGGACGCTTCACGAGGTGCGTGGGGGGATGAAACGTGCCACACGCAGCGGGTGGATGCAGCAGGGCTTTCGACCGCAGAGCAGAGCCGGCCGCGCAGGGCCGGCGCCTGGCAGAGCGTGCATGTTGCGTGCGATGGGGCCACGCTTCATGGGCCAGCACCCCACCGACAAGAGTTGGAATCCCAGGCAGGCAGCGGCGGAAAGCTGTCAGGGGGTGCAGGGGACGTGCTGCGAGGCCCGGCAGAAGGAATATGCGGCACGCTCTCGCTGCTCAGCCGGGGCCGCCGCGCTCGCGCGGCGCGGGCGCGCATCCCGACAGAGAAAGCAGGGGGCGTGGCTGAAAACGAAATCAGACAGCTACGAATAAATCTCACGCGCCCACGGCACGGCGGGCCGGCAGCATTGCGCGGGGTAGGGTTCAGGGTCCGGATCAAATGGGTAGGTTGGCGCGCGCTGCGGCTGCGATGGCTCGGATAAGCAATGTGGGATCGATGGCGCGCCGTCGGTGCCGGAAGCGATAAACGAAGGGGGAGCGACGCAGATCGAGCGGCGCGAGCGTTAGAGGGTCGTGTACGAAGCTCAGGCAGCCTGAGATGCCTAGCAGGCACACGAGGCGGTCGGCAGTCGGGGTAGGATAGCCGGCACCCAGGACGCGGTTTGGGGCACGCTGCAGTCGTCTACGATCATCTCCGTCGCCGCAGCGGCGGTGAGGAGACCCAGAACGCAGCAGCCGCGCCGGCAGGAGCGCGGCGAGCGCGCGCGCGCGACGGGCGGGGGGCGCGGGGCACTCCAGGATCCGCGCACATCACCTGGCGCAGTGTATGCAGTCGGTGGGTCAACACGCGGAGGTTGTCACACGCGACGCGTCGCCCCGTATGAGCTAAGCGACGGCGTCCAGCACAAGACTGTCGCTGGCGATCATGCCGAGCGGATGGCGCGTTGTTGGGCGAGAAACTGGCTGCGGCCCGCTGATCTGTCTAGACCAGAGGAGTCGGACGAGCGCAGCCGATCCAAGTCAAAGCGGGGTCGCAGGGCGCGGTTCAAGCCGCGCAGCTGGCTTCGGCGGTCACCCCGTGCTGCAGCCAGTCAGGCGGCAGGGCGCCACCAGGGTGCGCGCACCAAGGGGCCCTGCCATCTGCGGCGCTGCCGTCGCCGTGCGTGCTGCTGCTGCCGCTGTTGCTGCTAGTGCTTCTGCTGCTGCTGCCGCCGCCAAACGCGCTTAAAGGGTCAGAACCAGTGACCCCACCAGCCTATTGGAGTGCAGGCATTGCAAGGCATGGGGCGTGGTTAATGCGTGCGTGGGGCGTCGATGGGGCGCACATGAGATCAATACGCACAATCATGCTCATGTTTGACTCACACAGGCCGAGACAATCTGGCTTGCGCCCACCTGCATGTGCAGCTGCTGCTGCAGTGATTCGTGCTGCATCTGCAGCTGCCTCTGCGCCGCGAGCAGCTGCTTTTGCTGAGCCCTGGGCCGCCCAACCACGAAGAACAGCAGCTGCGCCCGCGTCGCCGCGCCGCCGCGCTCGGCCGCGCCGCGCCGCTGCGGCAGGCCGTAGATGCCGCCGGCGCCGCCAGCGAGCAGCGGGCTGAGGGGCTGCGCCAGCATGGGCATCAGCAGCAGCAGGGCGAGGGTGCCGGCGAATACAGGGGAGCCGCGACGGCCCAACGTGGTCTCGAGCGGCAGCTCTTCATCGAATGCGTAGTGTGCATACAGCGCAAAGGGGCTCTCTAGAGAAGAGGAGCGCCTTGGCGCCGCGTCCCTGGCGCACCCGCGGGCCATGGCGGCTGCGAAGGCGGGGGCGTGGGAATCGGTGGGCGCGCGTGTGTGGGTGGCCCAGCACACACGACGCACCGGGCGACATCGCGTGGCACCCGCGCAGACAGGCACCATCTAGCGCTCTAGATCTCGTGTCATCGATGCAGATGCGGTCGCATCGGTGCAGGGAGCAGCGCGAAGGCGTACAGCTCACTTCAACGAAGGCGCGCCGTGATGTCGGAGCCCGACAAAACGTGAGGGGCAGTCCAATGAGAATTCCACGGATTTGATCGACTGTGAAAGTGCGGAGCGCAGACTGCTCTGGTGGCAATTTTGATGAGTGCGTCTGGGCGCGAGCAAGGCCGTGCACGGGAGCACCCGGGATCGATTCGCGAATGCGTGGTGAACCGCGAATTCGACACTATGGTGAAGGCCCCGCCGGCATGTGCGCGCCCGCGCGGTCCAGCTGGCATCGCCGGCGGCGCGGCGTGGCTGGTCACCCGAAGTGACTGCGGCCCACCAAATCGCCCCGAGCTGGCAAATGCAGCAGCCAGAGAGCGGTTGCCAACAGTTTCAATCCCAAAGCTTTTCTACTCAGGTTCAGGCTGCGCTCGCAGCCATGGAGCTTCCCTTGCTCAAGTGGCGGCCCCCTGAGCTGGAAACTCGACAGTCCGAGCTGCATGTAGGCACAATCAACTTGCCTACAAGGACGACAACTGCAGCCCCGTAACTGACAGTACGATGGCGCGTTCCGTACATTACACAAACTCCTGCTTTCCCAGAAACGCAATCGCGAGCAGCTGCGAGCTGTTCCACAGGCAGTGCAGCAGCAGCGGCGGCATCAGGTTGTGGGTGCGCAGGTACAGCGCGTCGGCCGTCGCGCTAAGCAGCAGCAGCGGCGCAAAGTTGGCGGGGCTGAGGTGGAGCGCCGCGAAGTTGAGGGAGCTGAGGGCTACGCATGCTGGGAGGGGCAGGACCTTGGTGAGGGAGGCCAGGAAGAAGCCCCGCCAAAACACCTGCGCATGTGTGTGTGTGTGCGTGTGTGTGTGTGTGTGTGTGTTCGTGTGTGTGTGTGTATACGTGTGGGTGTGACTATGCAGCTTATGCGCGTAAATGCTTGCGTGCGTGCCGGTGGGTGGACGGACGGGCGGTTTGAGTGCGACAATGAGCGGGTGACGGGTGGGTGTGTGGGTGGGTGCTGGCGGTACACTGCACGGGACAGTCGGGGGTGGGCACTATCGGGTGAGGAGGAGAGGGAAGGGGGGTTCGCGACGCGGCGGGCGCACCACGCGCAAGAAATGCTGCGGCTCAGGCGAGGCCGGTGCAGCAGATCGGGCGGGCGACAGAGACACTTGCGTGCTGTTGCGGGAACCGGCGCCCGAGGCTGGCCTGATCCCTGCGCGGACGCTTCCCGCCCCTCGGGTCCCTCCCGCCCACCTCCTCCCACACAGGCCCCACGAGCCCGCTGGCCAAGAGGTGTGCCCCGAGGCCGCCCCAGTCGCCTGCATCCGCCGCCGCCCTGACCTGCCCCGCGAGCGCCCCGCCGGCTGGCGGGCCGAACAGCGCCTGTCAGTGAGCCGAGGTTGCGGGCACGCGGCGGCGATTGTGCTCAGTCCCCAGCCATACGCCCGGCGTAGTGCATGGTTTGGGAGCCCTTAGTCACCTGTCGGGGCGCAAGCCAGCCTTCAGGATTGCGCAGTGCGGGGGCTCTTCAAGGCACCAGGGCGCGGCCTCACCTCGGCAGCCGGCGCCCATGCGTGGTAGAGCAGCGGGTCTGCCAGAGGGAACACCACCGCGCAGGCCGCCAGCGTCCGCACCGCCCACGCCCCGTCCCACCGCGCCTGCAGCAGGCCCGCCCGCCACGGCGCGCGCGGCGCCAGCGCGGCCAGCACCGCGGCCGGCAGCAGCGCAGCGAGTAGCCCCTCGCGCGCAAGGTGCAGGGGCGCCCCCGCTGCGGCCGCCGCGGCAGGGTCCGCGGGGGCGCGCAAGAGCGTCGCATTGGTGGCCGCGAAGAGCGCCGCCGCCGCCAGGCTGGACGCCATCACCTGCAGAAGCGCAGAGGCGTTGCATGTTGGCGCTCGATGGACGCGCACCTGCTGCTGCTCCTTGTGCCGGGGCTGTGACCGACCTGCAACGCTCCGAGCTGCCTGTGGATCTCAGACAGTGGAGCATGCAGCAAGTCTGCTTTCTCATGCGCTGCCATGCGTGCGTCATCCCCGTCAGACCGCCAGATCACCAGATCACCTTGACCAGGTCAGACGGGCCCCAAGGAATGGGCGGGAAAGTCTCTCGTGCCTGCATGCGGCCAGGGGTTGGTGTATGAAAGGCGCCGCGGCGTGCGCTAGACGCGCTGCCGCGCATGTGCACTCGTCGTTGCCAGACATGTCGTGGCGCTCGATTCCTAAGCCCTCCCAGGAGCACAACAGAGGCAACCAACAAGGCCTCAAGGCAGGGGTGAGGCGGTTGATGTGAGGCGGGTCGCGGCGTTGATCCCACCTCGCGCCACCAGCCCTGCAGCAACTGCAGCTCGGAGGCCAAGCCCCAAAGGGCAGGCCCACCCACCGCCGGTGCCCCGACCTGGCCCGACTGCATCAGCAGCTGCTGCTGCTGCTGCTGCTGCGGGCCGGATCCCTGCTGCTGTTGACCGCCATTGCTGCCGCTGCCGCCGCTGCTGCTGCTGGCTGATGCTGCGTCACCTTCCGGCACGCCTTGTGGACCTGGGGTTGCAGCTGCGCGCTGCCCTCGGGTGCAGCGCTGGAGCCGAGCCAGGAGGCGGCCTGGTCTGCAAGTCCTGACAAGTTGCGGTGATTCCGTGAGCTGCCGGCACCCATTTGCCAGCTGTCCCATGATGTTTATCTTCGCGAGTTGGATGGGTGTGGTTAAGGTTGGGCACGAGCCCCGCGGCGTGCGAGGCGTTGGGCTCCGCGCCAAGGGGTGCGCGGCAAGTGTGTTGCTGTGCCCGATGCTAGTGCAGCAGCAGCGCAGACAATGTCACTGGCATACGCGGCGCGGTGGGGCAGCTGAATCAAAGGTTCCGATAACACTTGATGCTAATACGCTCAAAGAGAGCGAAACAACACGCTTGAACAGTCGAAAAGGTCCTGGGAACTGGGCAGGCGTTTCGCGTTCCGGTCGCACTAGATACAGATCCCCACCTGAGTTTGATGGGTACACTCGCGTGGCAATCGCTTCATCGATCCAGCCTATCTTTGAGGACATTTGCACGCGCAGCGTCAATCGGCAGTGCGTGTTCAAGATGCAGGTCGCTCAGCAGCGTGCATTCGCTTCTCGCGCCCGCACTGTGCGGTGCTACGCTATCAAGGATGGTGCCGCCCTTGACAGGCCCCTGCGCGTGGCTGTGATCGGTGGCGGGCCCTCGGGTGCCTGCGCGGCCGAGACCCTCGCCCAGGGAGGCGTGGAGGTGGCTCTCATCGAGCGCAAGATGGACAACTGCAAGGTGCGGAGCGTTTTATCAGCTCCTGGCCGTTGGATCGCGTGCCCGAACCAAGCGGTGGGATCATCTCGACCAGACAGTTGCCGCCGGTGCTGCGCTGCACCACCCTGCGCACTGGGACTCCCTTACCACTTCTGTGTGCTGCGGCTGGTGTGTGGCAACCATGCACTTTCGTGGTATCCGTAAGGCTCAGCCGCCCGCCCCCTCGCCCGGAAGCCCCTCGCCACTGCCCGCGCAAAAAATCCCCCTCGCCCCCGCCCCCGCCCCGCCGCAGCCCTGCGGTGGCGCCATCCCCCTGTGCATGGTTGAGGAGTTCGACCTCCCCCAGTCCATCATCGACCGCAAGGTCACCAAGATGAAGATGATCTCGCCCTCCAACCGCGAGGTGGACGTGGGCAAGACCCTCAGCGAGACCGAGTACATCGGCATGTGCCGGCGCGAGGTGTTCGATGACTACCTGCGCAACCGCGCGGCCGAGAAGGGCGCCAAGCTCGTCAACGGCCTCATGATGCGCATGGAGCAGAAGGGTGCGTTAGAGTGGCAGCGGCGGCAGCCTCGCGGTGGTTTGTGTTCGCTGTGTTGGGTGTTGGTGGTTGGGTGGGTAGTGGTCACTGCGGGTGCTGCTGAGCTACCATGGCGCGAGAGGAAACCCTAGTGCCAGGCGGCGGGCTTGGGGTGCAGTGGACTGCACGGCGAAGGTGTCCAGCGCGCCGAGGCGGTCCCGGGAAAAGGCGTCGGCCGGCAGGCCCCGTCAGCCCAGCTGACTCGAGCGCTGGCGTGGGCCGACGCCCTTCTTATCAACGCCATCAAGAACCAGGGGGTTTGATTGCCTCCCGCCACGCCAGCCCCTCGCGCCCCTCCCCTCAACCCACAGCTTGCCAACCTGTGCACCCACTTGCACCTTGTTGCTCATAGGTACACTCAACCGTTTCCCGACCCCACTCCCACCTCCTCCCCCTTCCCCTTCCAGAGAACGAGGGCCCCATCACCATCCACTACAACTCCTACGAGGAGGGCGGCAAGGTCGGCACCCCCGCCAGCATGGAGGTCGACCTGGTCATCGGGGCCGACGGCGCCAACAGCCGCGTGGCCAAGGAGATCGACGCCGGGGACTATGACTACGCCATCGCCTTCCAGGAGCGCATCCGCATCCCCGGTAGGGCACAGACGTGCGGCTTGGGGTGCAGGCTGCTGGGGGTTGCGTGGCGGGGAGCAGGCGCGAATGGGCAGGAGCGGCTCGCCTGGGCCGAAAGCTCTGCGGGGATGGTGCTCCTGCGACAAACTTTGGAGGGGGGGTCAGGCTGCCTGCAATGACGCGGCACCGCATTTGTTCGCACCCGCGATCCTTCCTCTGCATCCCCTCCCTCCTTTCCTCCTTGGTGCTGGGCGTCCCCTGATGTCCCCACCCCACCCCCCCCCCCTACCCCAAACACAGACGACAAGATGAAGTACTACGAGAACCTGGCGGAGATGTACGTGGGCGATGATGTCAGCCCTGACTTCTACGGCTGGGTGTTCCCCAAGTACGACCACGTCGCGGTGGGCACCGGCACCGTCGTCAACAAGACCGCCATCAAGCAGTACCAGCAGGCCACCAGGTGTGGGGGGGATGCTTGTTTGTGCTTTTGGGGGGGATGGTGTGTGTTCATGTGAGTGTGTATGTGTTTGTGTGTGCATGCGCGGTTGGCACAGGCGGTTGTGCAGTGGGTCTGCTAGCCGGCCCACAACTCACACCACGCACCCTCTCTCAAGCTCCCCCACACACCCTCTCACGCTCGCG